GGGGGGGGGGGGGGGGGGGGGGGGGCAATTGCATGCTCTTCTTCTGTCTGTGTGCCGTGCGTGTGCGGTGATGCGACTCGACTCTGTATGACTAGCCAGACTGGGTCCGATGCGATGAGAGAGATGTCGATCTGATCTGCCCCGGCTGGCGGCAGACTGCCTTCCTTTTTGTCTGTCAGTTTTCGGCAGTTTTCTTTCCTAAGTGACTGACTAGTTTTCCTGAAAGAAGCGAGAACCCACCTCACACACACAGCCAGCCACCTGACCTGTGCGGCAGTTTTCCTGACTAGCTAGCAAGCTTGACTAACTGACTGAGCTGGCTAATTTGCCCACATGCTTAGGATGGCAGTGGGGGGTGGTTTGGCCTGCCTGCCTGTGGTGGTCTGTGTCGATGGATGACCGCCCGTGTGTGTGTGCGTGCGCGTGGGCCTGCGTGGGTTCCATTTTCTTGCACTATGTTTCTGTCTGCCTGTCTGCCTGCCTGCCTGTACATCCGTGCCGTGTGCGTGATGTGACGTGACGTGACTGAGCGATAGTGATGCGATTGACCCTGTCTGTCTGTTTTAGTCGAGACTGCCGCCCGGGCCCAGTCAGTCTATCGCTTCCATTGCGGCCAATTCATTGATGGTGTTGCATCCGTGTGGTGTACATGTCTCTGTCCGTCTATGTGCGTGCCTGCCTGCCTGCCTGTGTGTGTGTGTGTGTGTGTGTGTGTGACCTGCGTGCTATGACTTCTCGATGGAATAGTGTGGAAGAACGGCTCGATTTTCCACTCTGATCCAGAGCCCCAACACGTCAAGTGCCACGCCTGTGTGCCTGTCTGTGTGCCTGTCAGTGTGCCTGTGTGTGTTTAAGTGACTGACAATTAATGATTGCACGACCTAAAGATGCTGTCCGTGCATTTATGGCTCTGTGTGTGCGTGTGTCTGTGTGCATGTGTGTGTGCATTTTTGGGTGTGGACCTCCCTTGGTCTAACTAATGGATGTGCCTGTCGTGTCGTGTCGTGGTCTTTTTCGTTTTCTTGTCGTGAGTGTCTGTATGTACCCATTGTATGTACGTCTTTTAAAATTGTATGTATGACTTGACATACACTGACTGACTGACTAACCCACCGACCCCATAGATATCAATGTCATCATCACATCACCTGATAGATATGACCTGACCTGACCACACTTCATCGATCATCACCCCATTTTTCGTCCATTCCTCTCTCTCCTGTCTGTCTTTGTGTGTCTGTCTGTCTGTCTGTGTGTCTGTGTGTCTGAGTGTCTGTGTGTGTGAGTGTGGTATGATACAGCCACCCTCCTTTCTCATCTCGTCTCCTCTCGTCTCGTCTCGTCTCGTCTCCTCTCTGCTGTCTCTGCTGCTACGGCACGCCATCAACCTGTGAGCTGAGTAAGTGCACTGACAACTCTCTCTCTCTCTCTCTCTCTCTCTCACCGTCCTGGCCTGTGTTCAGACACCAGTTAGTTTTTCTGTAATGTTTATCTGGTGGTGCACCTCATGTGAGCGCCTTCATGCCTCAGTGAGGGTTTGTGAGTGCGTGTGGGTCTTGGAGACCTTTCCTTTATGACCGATGATGAGATCTGTCGTGTGGTGGTCTTTTTCGTTTTATTGTCTTTTAAAGATTGTATGTATGACTTGACATACACTGACTAACCCAACCCATATCCCATCATCACCTGATATATATGACCTGACCACACTCCATCATCACCCCATTTTTCGTTCATTCCCCTCCTGTCTTGTCTGTCTGTCTGTCTGTCTGAATGTGGTATGATACAGCCACCCTCCTTTCTCGTCTCGTCTCGTCTCCTCTCTGCTGCCTCTGTCGCTACGGCACGCCATCAACCTGTGAGCTGAGTAACGACCCTGACAACTCTCTCTCTCTCTCTCTCTTTCTCACAACCCTGTCTGTGTTAAGACACCAGTTAGTTTTTCTGTAATGTTTATCTGGTGGTGCACCTCAGCGCCTCCGTTCGTGACTGAGGGTTTGTGAGTGCGTGTGGGTCTTGGAGACCTTTCCTTTATGACCGATGAGATCTGTGTGGGGTTGGGTGTGGGCGTTTTGCGGGTGCCTTTATCTTGTTCCTTCAACCTGAGCGAATGAATGCCTCGATGCATGCGGCAGAACGGTACACGAGAGACACGAAGACAGTCAGTGATTTCAATTAGCCGTGAAAGCATCATGACATGAAGGTCCATCATCTCTCTCCTCTACCATCGTTTCTCCCCATGTGTGAGCCGATTCAGAAAAATCCAATCCTTCACACACACGGATACATGCATGCGCTCCTGTCTGTCGACGCGCTGGCTACCGGCCGACGGAGTGTCTCGTCGCGTCGCCGCTCGTTTGGCGTGGCGCGTTGGACGATATTTATGCGAAGGGGGCGAAGGTCACGCTGGCGCAGCCCACCCTCTTGCCGCGAGAAAGCATACTCTTGGCACACTGCTCGATGGTCCACCGCTTGTGCGTGAGGTCCACCACACGGGCAGGGGGCGCGATGTCCTCCAGCCGCCTAAACACACACATGGACACAAGCACACACACACACACACACATAGATGGCGCATGATGTTGCGTCTCTGTCTGTGTCTCTCTTACTTAGCGGCGATGTCGCCGATATAGATGACCGCCATGACGGTTTTGTCTCCGTTGACGAATACCTCTACCAGCGGCATGGCGACATTGTGTGTGGAGGCGCCGCCCTTGATGGACTGCACATGGTAGGCCAATTTGACCTGCAGGCACCAAGGGCAGACAGAGGAACAATCCATCCATCCATCCATCCATCCATCCATCCACACACACGAATGACGTCTGACGTACGGCATCGCTGATGGCCACATTCCGGGGGCATTTGAAGACGAAGCTGTCACTCAGCGGCGCCGCCGCCTCCAACACATCATAGGCACTCTGCAGTGAAGCCACAGACACCAACACGCCATAAAGGAAGTGAGAAATGCATGTTTGTCATCCATTGGATTAGTGCAGTACGGACCAGTGTGCCGTCGCCCATGCGGTGAAGTGGGTATGTCTCCTCTTCATAGGCCTTCCCCCAGGGCATGTCGACGTGAATGGCGCCGAACTTCCTGCCGATGGGCATCCACTTGGCGGCGAGGCCGGCGATGCGGGCGAAGTAATCGCCGCACACCATCCGGAGCCTCTCAGCCACGCCTGCATTCAGAGCGACAGCAACTCAGTGAGTGCATCCTGATCAAGAGGAGCCGCCGCTTCTCCCGCTTACCATGGACGCGGGCGTTGTGCATGGTGTGGTCGACATTGGTTTGGTTGATGTCGCATGCGAACACCGTCAGCCCTGCGACGGCGAGGGAGACACTCTGGCCTCCCACGCCGCTGAAGGCGTCCAGAACGATGCTGCCCGCGGCATACATCGTGATGGCCGCC